ATAAAAAATATTAAAATTATATTACTGATATACAGTCCTGACCGTCAGATCGGCTCAGATTCAATCTGGGCCATTAGGTTTATACTATTCTATCAGATAGTGGGCTCACCCTAGCATCTTTTATATATATATATATATATATATATATATATATATATATATGGGCTATGATCTAATGCAACGGTTGTATCATAATATAATACAATGACATTTCTAGAAAACCATATTTGTGGTATTCGTACGACTCAAAATTTTGCACACACAATCTCTTCATCTCAATAATTAATCCTCAAAAAAATAAATTCAATTTGAACCCTAGATATGATCAAAATGAGTCATCTTCAAAAACGAATTTAGACCAATTATTTGGTGAATTTCAAGATCTTAGCCTTTATAAACTCAAAATCATTTTTTTCTTTTTTAACATTGTTTATATAATCATAATCAAGTAATCCAAAAAAATGGAAATGAAAAGAATCCTTCTAAGGCCTAGATCTAAGCATCTTAAAAAAACGAACGGCCTGTATTAATTGGACTAAAAAAATACTTTTTAGGTTGTGTTTTCAAATCTTTCTTTTTTGTGATTGTCCATTAAAATTAAAAGAGTGTATATTTCAAATTTTGGATAAAAAAGTGTCTATAATATGGTTTTTAAAGGTTGTTGCATCGTATTACTATACAATCATTCCCTAAAATCATTGCCCATATATATATATATATATGGGAATAGTCTTTCGAAGGCCTATAGGCGATAGGGAACAATATTTCCGCCTCCTTATATCCACCATCCTTTCAAATTAAATAAAATCGTAGGGATTTTATTCGATTTAAAAATCCCTCTCCACCATCCTTTCAAATTAAATGAAATCGTGGATCTGATTCGCTTTAAAAATCCTCGCGCCAAAAGCTTCCAATAAATTTCAACCATACCCCTTCCTCCTGCGTGCTCTGCGAACCTGAGAGCTTCACTGAGAAGCTCCCTCTCTCTTGCTCGCCATCGTCCCGGGCGACTACAATTGCTCTGCATCCTCTTTCTCTAAATTTCATCCTCTCTCCCTCCTCATTCGCTCTAGGAATTTCAGCCATACCCCCTCTTCGTGCGTGCTTTGCGAACTAGAGAGCTTCACTGGGAAGCACCCTCTCTCTTGCTTGCCATCGTTTCTCCGGGCGATTACAAATGCTCAGCGTCCACTCTCTCTAAATTTCAGCCGCTCTACCTCCTCATTCGTTCTAGTAAGCTCATTGTGGCTTCTGGCATCTCAAGGAGGTAGCTCGCTGAAAAAAATCCAACCCAAGACGACTCAGGATTAGGGCACTTTGGTCTCTTAGGTATTATGGTGGATGGACGGTATCGAACATATATTTCTTGGGCTTTACTGGAGTGGTCAAAATCGGAGGCATTCGTATTGGGGCACTCTCTGAGATATATAAGGCATGCGATTACTATTCAGGCAAGTAAAATTGTTGCGTTGCTATTTTGGTCTTTTTTGACTGATCATTTTGCAATACTCTGCACCATCTATTATTTTTCTTGTAGTAGTAAGGTTAGCTCCTCTTCTGCCCAATATTTGTTCCATCATGTTCGCTGAGAGTTGTTTTGATTATGAACGGTATGGTGCTTTATTTGGCTTTTGATTTCCTTAAAATTCCATTGGAGCTGTATAGTTGTTTTAACATGTATTTCCCTTGAAGTAATCTGGTATATTGTCAAATGAGCAGGACATTATGGTAGGACTCCTTATAATAGCAATGACATTTGGTCTATATATCATGTGCGTCAGTATGATGTTTATAAGCTCATGCAAATTGAGGAGAAAATTGATATATTTATTTCACATGATTGGCCTCTTGGCATCACTGACCACGGGAACTATAAGGAGCTTATTCGACAGAAGCCTTTTTTTTGAGAGAGAGAGGTAATTTGTACTTACTCTTGAGGTATATTCAGTGCCCTGGACATGATTATAAATCTCAAGTTTTGAATTTATAGTGTTTTATTTATTTATTGTTTGAATATTACATATTCAAAATTAGTTGATAATAATATCAACACATTCATTTTGGTATTGATTTATTTAATATTCATTCACCTGTTCCACTAAGTTTGCTTTATTCTTTTGTTTCATGTTTTACATAGAAAAGCAAAAGATTGTGGAGGTGTAAATATTCAACCTGGAATTTTAAATTACTTTATTGAGTTTAGGCTTTTAGATTGCATCTCCATTGCAATCTGAAAAAACTGCTTTCCACTAAATGGTAAAAATTGCAATTTGTTGCCTGGCTTGATACATGGGAGAGCCTGGAAATTTCTTGTGTCAAGGAGTTGTGTGTGTCGAGGCTTTAGGCATCACTAATGAGAAAGAGAAGCAAGAACACAATACAGTTGCTGAACTCTAGGAAAGGAGAATTATGGGTGGAGATGAAGATGGAGAGGATAAGATGAATTGACGAAGAGAAAGCATGAGCTCCTTTGCAGCTGGATTCTTCAAGCGTTACATGGCAAAAATAGGGTACCATGGGTATATATATCCTCCATTAGAAACAAGAGGAAATTGTGAATCTTTAAAGATATTATGAAGACCATTCAAGTCCAATTCACTGCACAAGCAAAAATATGTCAAGCACTCCTCAAACTCTGATTCTAGACCAGAGTATGTGCAAACTTAGACCAATATTTTCGTGGTATCAAGCACAACTCATGACTGCATGAAACAGTGTTAGAATCTTGAGCCTAATTGTGACTCAGAAAAATTGAAGTGTTGAGCCTGTCTTCCCTACACTTCTGTAGGACTAGCATTCTTACAAAAGTAGATTAAACGGCAACCGTAAAATAATGATATAGAATAATGACGAGTCCCTATGGATGCTCTTGTCCCTTATTCTGGAGTGGACAACTGCTACAGATCTTTAAAGATTTGCTTCCTATATCAGCTGTGTTGGATGTGGATGACTTTGAGTAGCTTCTCGCTTTCATATTTAAGTGTTGGATCAGGAATGTGCTTTTCAATAGGTTATCTTGGTTCCTCTTCTCTTCATCTGCGGATCATCTTTTGACCCAAAGAACTCAATTGTATTGCATGACAAGTGTGCCAATTAATCCTTTCCCAACTTGAATGACACTTGTGGGAATGGTCTTGAGGTGATAGCCAATCTCTCAAGATGTAGGGGCTTTTAATTCTCGACTCTATGGAAAAATAGTAGAAAATAAGATTTCTACATCTAAAATTCAGCAATTCTTGGAGGATCTCAAAGCTAGTTTTCTGAGGTCTAGAAGAGGCAAAATTTCTTGGAAATTTGGGTAGTAGCCATGAAACTAAGATTGAAAAATTTATTGCCAAAGGACCTTGGCAGTATCAATACAAAATGTATCAAACAGTGGGGTTCTTGGATAATATATGCCTTGAATGTAATAATATGTTCATTCTTGGGATCATCTTCCTCTTCTGATTTCTTCACTTATTTATTTATTTTCACTCTTGACCTTCATTCCTCCAGCAGTTAAGGCATGTTGAACTATTGAGGAAGATCTGCTGGCATAAAATGTTCATGTTTAGCTTGTGTTCTAACTATTTCCTGAAAGCAATTTCTCTAATGTAGCTCACTTATTTGTATGGTAGATTATTGTGACAATGAACTTTTGATAATGAACTATCAAGGCAAGTACAAAGCTCGTCAACAGTATTTCCAACTATTATTACATTCGAAATTTTCAATACTTCATATGGAATCTGACATAATCTATTTTATTATATTTTTTCTTTTTACAATATAATTCTCTGTTTTCAACTCTTTTGGTATGGATATCTAATATGTTTATTTTCTTTCTTATCAAAATATGACAGAATTCTTCCTTCTGTACTTGCGTTGATGGATTTTCTGATGAAATACCATCTAACTCTTCATACTTTCCATTCTCTTAGCTAACACAATGTGAGAATTATTGCAACTTGGGGAATCCCTACATAAGAATATCAATATCTCCCTTGTAATTAAGTTTCTAGGAAGCAAGATTTCTTAGATTTTGTTTTGTGGATTTAGACATGTTTTCTGTTAATAATTTCAGATTCGGGAGAAAAGCCTGGGAAGTAAACCTGTAGTAGAGATGCTCGAGAAACTGAAACTGGCATATTGGTGCTCTGGTCATTTGCATTGCAAATTTCCAGCTATTGTCCAATATGGGGAGGATGGTCTCATCACAAAATTCCTTGCGCTGGATAAGTGTCTCCTGCAAATTTTTGCAGGTTGCCTTGAAGTACTATATTGCCTTTAAGTAATCAAAGAGTATGAAAAATATTCTTTGGAAACTATAAGCCACATTTTGATCTTCCATCTATTGTCGACAAATACATCAAGAAGATGCTTTGTCACATGGAGAAGTTCATCACACATTCAATCTCATTCCCAGAGATCAATACGACTTTTGAATACACGCTCAAAGGGACGGCCTTCGCTACATCATTCGAATGGAAGAGTGAAACTTGAAAAAGCAAAAAGAAATAAATTACTTATTGGTGGTTGAATCAGCTCATTTGGGTTACCTTTTTTTAAGCTTTATTTGTATATGATTGTTTCCTATTTCATGATGTTTTTAGCCTCTTTGTATCTTTCCAATAGTTTGTAAATGATTGTAATTGGTTGTTGTTTAATTTATGGTAATCTTTTGTGAATCAAATTCTCTGGTTTATGGTATTATTCAGTTTGTCGTTTTCTTTTTGAGACAAAATAATAAAAAGAGAGAGAGGGAGGGAAATCTGGTTATCAACTACAATGAAATAATATAAGCTCATTTATTTGGTTGAGATGAGAGAGAGAGATCATTCAAATCCGAGGCCTATGAGAGAGAGCAGGTTATCCATACAACGTGAAAATGTATCAAACGCTCAACATAAAAAATAAAACAAAGTAAGAACTGTGGGTATATAAATGCATTTCACTATCTAAGTAAACCCATATTGCACACGTTAATAACATACATGGAAAAGAAAGACATGTCACATATATGTTATCAAAAAGTCACCAAATAGGTTTTTAAGATGTCCCATAAAGAGGTCCTTTACATGCCACCATAAAGGGGTCCTTTACATGCCCGTACAATTACATGAATACTGAATATTCACATAATCCCTAAAGTCAACTACAAAAAGGGGTATTTACATGTCTCCAAAATTCAAAAATTTAGTCAAGTCGTTTACATGCCTCATAAATAGGTCTTTTACATGCCCGCAAAATTCAGTGAATATTGACATAACCCCCAAAGTCAACTACAAAAAAGGGTTTTTACATGTCTTTAAATACATGTGCAAACAAACCTCTGCAAGTTGCCATATCCTCGATGTGAATGCAGTATCGCAATTTGTCATGTCCTCCGTGCAATTGCAGCCCCTTCATTTGTTATGGTCTCCACTCGGTTTGAGGTCCTCAGTAGCTCTATAAGAGAAAGATGTATTGTAAATCCAATACGTAAAACAGAAGATAAATGAAAACTAAAGTTAAATAGAAGCAATTATGTTTATTATGTTTAATACATAAAGCAAAGAAGCACTTACATCCCGCACGCTGTCACCAGATAATTACATCAGTCATGTCCACTCTTATTACAAACTTTACACTTCCTTTTAGTGGGTGGCCTTTCCTCCGACTGTTTCTTTTGTGTAGAAGCTGTTGGCCCTTCCTCTCATGAAGGTTTAATCCTTTAGTCCTTGGTCGTCCAACTGCTCGTGCACATGGTGGATCGAGTACAAGGGGGGAGGCATCAATTAATCTAATACTGCCACATACTTCATTTTCTGCAGCACTACAATAAGTGGAGGCTAATGGTGCATGTGTATTCGACAAAGACTCTTTTATTACATTGACCTCCTCAACTAACTTAAAGAAACCCAACTTCATTTTTTCAAATAGATCATCATTGTCAATCATATTTTTCAATGTGTTTGGTATCTTTTGATGAGAGAAATTGAATCTAGTCTTGTTGGGAGTTGTGAGAATATGATTATGTTCTTTTACAAACTTCGTAATAACCCATCTTTGCTTCTCATTCTTCTTAATACGGATCTTTGCCTGACATCCACATTTTGTGTGGGGCTGAGCATTTTCACTCCCATCATACATCTCACTACGAAACTTTGCCTACAACATTGTATAATCTGACCAATTTTTTCACCATGTTTCCATATGGTCCTTCCCTTTCTTATACCAAACCCATAATCATAAGCTTCATCTTCGTCAGTAAATTCCATTCCCATTGCCGGTTTGATACTTGCACCTCTTGCTAGGGCTGCCTCTGCATCTATAAGTATAAGATCTCCTTCTCCATCTATTGCAACTATATCCTCATCAAATGGAAAATCACGACAAGCTTCATCTACCATAACCTGAGCACCACACTCGTGCCCATTTTTTGAACTAGTAATGTCGACAGGAGAGGAAGGAGATGCTGATGTTGAGGCGTCCATGACACATGAATAGTATACCTGTTTGGTTTATATGGTCAACAATTAGAAGCAAGTGGGAGAACACATAAATATGATAGAAGAATCATACTTCAAAAAAATTAAAAAAATTCTTTCATGGATGCTATGAATTAAAAATATCAAATACAAATACTCCAAAAAATAAAAAAAATAAACGAGAACCATTGTTCATTCTCAAAACCATAGTTGTCCAATTTGTTATGTGATATTGTCATAATTTTTTATTTACAAACTTATTCATTGATTTACAAAAAAAGCCATATATGAACTCAAATTTCAGTAGGGATTTCTTTTGTTTTACGATGAATTATAGACTATAAATCAAGCATTAACAACATAGAAATTCAAATATTCGGGGGAAAATGAGTAATAGAAAATAAGTGATATGGGAATCCTTTTTTTGGTTATTATAATCTTTGTCCATTTTGGTTTGTGAATTTGTCATAGTTTTTTATTTACAAATATATTTATTGATTTAAAAATAAAAAAATAAAAAGCCATATATGCTGAGGGAAAAAAGAACTGAAATTTCAGCAGGATACTTTATGGCTTTACTCAGAAAACTCAATTTCCAAATCAAAGTTAGGATTTTTCTGGTGACTTACATACTATAAATTAAAGAAATTGTTCATGTGTGAGGTATTTTAAACTGTTTTTCTATGGTCATTAACTCTACTGTTTACATAAAATTCCTGCACACAATACACACATATAATCCCCAATTCTGCCTGATAAATGTTTTTGAAAATGTTAATTACTCGAGGCCCAACATACCGATTTAGTGCCAATATGATTGTGCTTGGATGCGGTGCCCCATCCTTTTGGGCCCCGTACTGCAATCAAACAGTTGTCATGCTTTCATGTGCTAAATCCAAAAAAAAACTATATATGAACTCAAATTTCAGCAGGAGGGAAAAATTAACTGAAATTTCAGCATGAATTTTTATGGTTTTACTTAGAAAACTAAATTTTCAAATTAAAGTTAGGATTTTTCTAGTGATTTACAAACTATAAATCGAAGAAATTGTTTGCTACTCACCGATTTCACTACCCTAATCCTGAGTCGTCTTGGGTTGGGTTTTTCTCAGCGTGTTGCCTTCTTGAGATGCCAGCAGCCACAACGAGCTTACTAGAGTGAATGGGGAGGTAGAGCCGCTGAAATTTAGAGAGAGAGGATGCAGATCATTTGTAATCACCCGGAGAAACGATAGCGAGCAAGAGAGAGAGTGCTTGTGAAGCTCTCTGGTTCTAGAGCACGCAGGAAGAAGGGGTTTGACTGAAATTCCTAGAGCGAATGAGGAGGGAGAACGGGTGAAATTTAGAGAGATGATGCAGAGCATTTATAGCTGCCCGAAGAGACGATGGCGAGCCAGAGAGAGGGAGTTTCGCAGTGAAGCTCTCTGGTTCGCAGAGCACGCAGGAGGAAGGGGTATGGCTGAAAATTATTGGGGTTTGAAGCTTTTCAGCCAATGGCGTGTGGGATTTTTAAAGCGAATCAGAGCCCTACGATTTCATTTAATTCGAAAGGACGGCGGATATACGGAGACAAAAATATTGTTCCTCGCCTCCTTGGGTATATATATATATATATATATATAGTAAGGAAAAGATAGAGTATTATTACTACTTAGTTTACGTATCGACCACGTATACTAATTAGTAATCGTAGTTCTATCTGACAATACACATGTATAGTAGG